TAGGTGTATCTACTGTGATGTATATCAATATTGTTAATTCAATATAATTTAATTTAATATTATAAATATAATTGACATATATGTAACCTATAAAAGATTATTTAATATAACAATTTATAATATTGTTAAATTAATAATAAATTAAATGTATTAATAATAAAATAATTATAATATTTTGAATTCCATAATAAAAACAATTATAGTAATGCAAATTGGATTCATAACGATTGAATTAGAAAAACACAACATTGATTTTTTTTAAAAAAAAAAAACAACACAACATTGAACTTAACATATCATAAAGAAAAAAAATACAGAAGCCCTACTATGAGTTCTTTTTCTTGACGATTTCCTCAACGACGACGCCTCCCAAAGTCCATTTCATTTTGAAACCTACTCCTTTGTTGTTGTCCTCTATGACTTTTGTGGCGTGCATTTGAGGGTGGTAGGGTAATTACCCTACTGTTTTGATGATGCTCTTCGTTTGTCACTGGATAGAGGTCACCTGCATAACACATTCTATAATAGTTTAAAGTAAACACTGCAGGCACAAAGGAGTCTGGGACACTTCTCCTGAAATGACATGCTGCTAAGACGTGAGCACAAGGCAAGCCATTTACCCCCCATTCACCGCATGTGCATGTCTTCTGCTCCAAATTAAGTTCATGAAATCTTACGTTGGGTTGAGAAATGCACGGCCTATCAAGAGCAACCTCGTAAAGCCCAATCTGGTGATTATATGGCTTAACGGTGGCATTGTTCTTGAATTGTTCCCTCCTTGACATCTCTTTAGAAATATTCTTTGGCCAACGCAAGCCTGCTTGTTGCATTAACTCCCCAGCAGCACTCCTGTTCACAAACATAGCAACTAACTTGTTGAATGTTAGCCGAGCTATAGCAGTTACAGGCAACATTCGACAACCCTTTAATGTATTGTTGAAGGATTCTGAGCTATTGGTAGTCATAATGCCAAACCTGTAACCACCGTCATAAGACAATGCCCATGATTCTTTCGGGATTTCGGACAAATATTGGTATGCTTGGGGCCACTTATCCTCTATAGCTCGCATTGCCTTTTGGTAATCCAATCTTGTTACCGCACTACCCGCTTCCCATATCAGTGATTTGAGACTCTTGTTTTTTAACTTCGTCATGACATTACTGCGGAGATGTCGTAGGCAGTATCGGCGGTGCACGCGTGACGGGTGTAGTTGTGGCAAGTCATTAAATGCAACATCAATGCCTGGGTGTCTGTCCGAAATTATGCATATGGACTCATGGTTTGGAAACACATGTGTTGCCAATAATTGCAAAAACCAAGTCCAGCTATTGCCGTTCACAGAATCGACAATAGAGTATGCCAATGGAAAAATTTCATTGTTTCCATTCATACTCACAGCCAACGGTAAATGCCCTTTGTATTTACCATATAGATGTGTACCATCTATGGTAATTACAGGAAGGCAATAACGAAAACCATCAATAGCTGCCTTCAAAGCCCAAAATGCGTATTTGAACTCAGAGTAATTACGACCCCTTGTTGCCCATGAGTGATCAGTACTTGGTTCTTTTTCCTCTTCACTACGGGAAGTGGAAGAATCAGAATGTTGTTCCGTTTGAGCATAATGGGAGAAATCAACAAATGGTTCTGATGTGCTACAAATGTTATAACTCGAACTCCCACCCCCAATGTCGTCCTCTGGAAGAGGGGGAAAATAGTTTGTGTCGCTAGCATGTACACCTCCCGAAAATTGTGTTAACCCTGTCAATAAGCCCATGAAACTTGTATTCGTTGTTGTAGGTGTTGCTGTAACATATACATGCAATTCCCCTAAACATGACGTCTGATTTACAAAATAAAACCATGACTCGTCACTGACAATAGGGTATTGCACATGGAATAAACCTTGTTGTTCAGTGTACATTAACAATCTCGCAGTTAACTCTATTATTGTGGTGGGAGATTCCCCCATTGCGTTGCGTATAATGACAATCACATCCGACAATGAGGATTGGCGATGTACGTATACTGATCTTTGGGGAGGTATTGTGTAACCAATTTGACATCCGGTTTCATTACGAATTACCTCGCCACCCCAGTATACTGAAACAATGACATAGTCTTCAACACCTACATTGCAAAATATTAATGTAGTAAGTATAATAGATACATTATGATTTATATAAAAACAATTTAAAGAAATTTAATCATACCGGCCATATTCTGCAAGCACTTGAAGAAGAAGTTGGAGTAAATAAGTAAAGTTGATATCGTGAGGAATTGAATAGGCTGAGGAATTGAATGTGTTGTGTGTGTTTAAATAATATTGATATCTTCTATAAAAATATGTTGATTATCTCTATACTCATTTCAAACATTTCAATTCAAAGGCATTTCATTCTGTTCTTTTCAGGGAATATATTCTCTGCATCAACATTGCGTATAAAATTACATTTCACAGCACAATGCTATAAAAATAAATATTCACTTTTGCAGCTTTGTGTGTAAAAGTAAGTATTCACCTTCACATGCATAAGTACTGCATAAATATTCACGGACTGTACAGTATGCATAAATACTGTCTTTGACTAGACAGGATTGCTGCCTCTTCAGAGACAGTAGTCTTTTAATTTTTTTATTTTTTTTCATTTTTTTTTGTTCTTATCGATTTAAGGATCTGAGAAAAAAAAAAAAAAAAAAAAAAAAAAAAAAAAAACTCACCTATGGGAATGCATCTTTCAACCAGGTCGCCTTCTTCCTATGAGGGGGCAACCTCAGGTCGCCCTTCCTGGGTTGCCTTCTCTGGTCGAACTGATCACCGGAAAAAATGTTTAGTTGTGGAAAAAAATGTCTGGTTGTTACTACTACGTGAGTTGTTTGTCTCTTGAAAAGTTGATAAAATAAAATTAAAAGAAAAGAGTTGTTTTTTCCACTCAAATATTTTTTTTAATTATCATGTGAATTGAAATGATATAATGGCAGATGCTCAAAGAACCCAGATTGATACATGAATTTTGTGTAGATTTTTGAATTTAGCATATTAGGTGGAGAAGAAGAATGGAGAAGCTAAGAAAACAATATGCTAGGTGTGTATTAGGTGGAGAAGGAGGATGGAGAGAGAGAAACAAAAGAATGGAGATTGGATGTATGTATACGACATAGGAGAGAGAAAGAATGTATATCATATGTATGTATACGACGGTCAACCTCAACCATCGATATTCTTATCCAAATTTCAAAAGTCTCTATATTTTAGTCCATTCCATTCCATTTCTCGGCAACCACAGAATTGACCCGTGTATTCAATCATGATATTTGTAGATTTTTAAAGAATTTTAAAATGATGAATTTTTATATATGTTAAACAACTTTGATAGAATTTTTCTAGAGTTTTGTAAATTTTGTACAAATATATAAAAATCTAATATCATAAACACTTATAACCTTTTATTGACTTTTACAAAAAAAATAATGTTATTCTAAAAAATCTACAAAAGTCATTAAAACTATAAATTAAATACACCCTTATAAATTTTTACTGATTTATATTGATGTTTATTGTTTATATAATTTTACTACAAGATCTTTTATAATATATCTTATATTTTTAAAGATTTTAAATAAATTTATGTATTCCAATTGGCAAAAAATAAATAAAAAAAAAAACTAAATTTGATTGCCAAAAAATTAGAGTATACTATAAATTTAAAGACAATATCAATCTTAAGGTACGAATTAAAATATTTATTTTGTTAGGACAATTATCCTTGGTAGGCATTATTTTCATTGATTTCTATTAATAGTTATTATTTATATTTTAATTTTCTTTAAAATTTTTATGATATACTTTAATAGATATTATATAAATTTATGTATTGTAATTGAATAAAATTTCAAATTTGATTGCCAGAAAAATAATATATTATTATAAATTTAATAGAAATATCATTTTTCATTAAATACGGAGCAATATAATATTTTAAGAAAAACAATAATACTCAAAACATAATACTCAAGTGTATTTTTATCTATTAGTGTCCTCTATTGGGAAGATACAAACTATAATGAAGAAAAAAATAATCTATAGAATTTTTTGAGGAGGAAAATATTTGAAAAGTTTAAGCATAAAGAAAAAAAATGTTGAATTTAAGTACAAGGTCTGTAGAATTTAAATAGAGAAAAATACTCCATAATAAATAGAATTTAAATAGAGAGATAAAACATTCACAAATGGTAGAAACAAAGTTTATAATTTTAGGGATTGTGAGATAGATTTAAATATTTATATTTCAAAGCAAAATATCTTTAAAATCAAATACAACCCAATATTTAAATACTCTTTAAAAATTTTAATAGAATATTGTCTGACTTTCTCTTTTTTTTTTTTTTGAGAAAAGAATATTTCTTACTTTTAAATATTCCCTAAAAGTTCAAATTTAATACCTTCGAACTTTTAAAATTCATACAAATCCTTAAAAGTCTCAAATACACCCCTAAATACATTTACATACGACACCAACACATCTGTAAATTCTCTATGTATGTACACATATACGTTAGTAAAGTCACATCACAATAAAAAAAAAAATTAAAAATAATTTGTCACAACTTTTTGTTGTTATTCACATTCTATAATAATATTTTCAAAAATAAATAGTATTAACAAGCAATAAAACGAAATTATTTTAAAAAATGTTATCCTATTTGGATCCAACCAAACATGCAACAAAACATATAGGATTTGGAGAAAATGCTTGCGTGTATAGATAACGTTGTCCCTATCCCATAGGATCTGGAATAAGCATGTTCTGAAAAATGTCATTCCATTCAAGCCTATTCCGCAAACCAAACGAAATGTACCACATGAATGCAATTCGCTTTTTCTTTCAAAGATGATTTTATATATTGCTATTTTTGTCTCAAAGACAATGTCCAGACTAGTCTTTATCAAACTGCACTTCAAAAATCAAAAATGAAAAGCTTAGGGAAAAAAAAAAAAAAAAAAAAAAAAACGGAGTCGAAGTAAACACAGTTTACATTTGTCTACAGTAGTCATAAATATATGTATACCTCTGAAGACTCTGTCTAACCTCAGTTGTAGCAGTTTTCAGAACACATCTTACCCAAAACCTCGAAATTAGGCAATGGCAAATGCAAACCAGTTTAACAAGATTTCCATGAATCTTGGGATTGCATGAAGGAAAATGGACCAATACAGCAATTGAGTTCATACAAAAGCAAGCTCCACACAAAGGTCAGCTACTGAGGGATCGAAAGACGCTTTAAGTTTTGTTGAACGACAAAAGTTGGAGATAGATCCCCGCTCTTGCACAGTCACAGGCTTCTCTAAAAGCTTCACACCTTGCTTCCAATATCGTTGTTCTAAATAAATCACATAAAGTTGGTCAAGACACTGTAGCTATGTCATGAGTGTAACATAAATATATATAAAACATAAATGTGCAATCCAACTATCAGCTTAGGCTTTTAGTTGAGATGAAGCACATGCTTCAATTTGGTATCGGAGCTATGCCAAAGGTCATGGGTTCGAATTTCCGCGCCACCCAATAAAAAAAGAGACTACGATCCAAGTGTTGCTTGGAGCCCATCAAAAAGCATCGGCCCGCACATGTGAGGGGGCATTAAATGTGCAATCCAACTATCAACTTAGCTTAGGCTTTTAGTTGAGATGGAGCACATGCTTTAATTATGAGATCACCACAAATGTAATATAACAAGTGATTTCATGGAAGAGGAAACCATCAGCCCATGATGCTAAAGAAAATCAAAACCCATACCTGGCCCCGTCGATATGACAGTGGACTCTCCTGCATCCATTACCCAATCAATCCAGAACACTAGTCCATGGCATATTCCTGACTCGGTAAATTCAAACTGAAAATTGTATTTTCAACTCTTTTAGATTCTGGCTGTTAAAAAAGTTTCTGAGAAAAATAAACAATTATCTCAAACATGCTGCAAGAAGATCATACCTGAGCTTCTTCTGAGCATGGGCACATTAGTTCTTGGAAATTGAATTCCATAATTGTAATTATTTCACTCAGTTTCTGCAATGATTTTGATTCACTCCAATCAACTTAAATAAAAATTGTAGCATACAAACGAGGACTCAAGGAATATTAATATTTATAATACAAAATTCTGCATGATTCTTCATAAGGATATTACATAAAGCATAATACCTTAGTCTCCCCACATTGCCAGATAAAAAAGGGCAGACAAGGACTTTGTTCCCCTGCAGGTAAATCTCCACATGCTCCTAAAGTGGAATTCACAACTGAATGATCAAAACCCTCAATGTCTTTTAGGCATCGTCGACTTCTCCAAAGATCCTACGCAAAAGATTTGCACGTCCATTGCAGAAAGTACACAAAGATCTTACATGGTATAAAACTATAAATCTTTTCTAGTAACATTGCAGAAAGGAATCCAAATACCCGCTACATAAACTTACAGGAAGGGACATTGCACAAGCCTTCAAGAGCCCTTTACAAGGCATTATCACAACGTCTTTTGACAAGATGGGGTCCATTGTAGTTCTTTCCTTCCTATGAACAAATCAAGATGAGGAACAACTAATACTCTTAGAGAATAGACAAATCTTTTGTGGCAACTTCCCATAGGCCATACCATAATGATAACCTAAGCTCCTCATTTGGTCATTTGGACTGGGTAGAGATCATGTTAGGAATATTTACAAGCACTATGCGGAAGCGAGTTATCGAAAGATTGAGAACTATGTAAATAGAAGGTTAAATAATATGAAAAAAAATTAAAATGACAAGTAGAAATTGTTATTTTGGGAAAATATATAATTACAAAAGGAGATTGTTAAGGAGATGCTACACAAGTGATGTAATGAGAATTTTAAATTGATGATGATCACAAAGCAATACAAATACTCTATTTATACACACACACAAAATAGAGAGAAAACCCCATGACATGTGGTTAAGAAAAAATATATAAACTAATTAGGACATGGAGAAATTAAATGGGCACCACGTGGAGAATAATGCATGAATAATGCATGCATGGAGGCTGATGAGTGGAATCCAACTATTAAGGATTTGAGCCACAAATTATTTGTTCCAACAAGCTCCACCTTGAATCAAATCTAACAGCCGACTAAATTCAAGCATTGCTTGAACCTAGCAATAGGTAAAGGCTTGGTGAGCATGTTTTCTGATTCTCCAATGTATGAACCTTTACAACAATATCTCCAGCAACTACAGCATCTCAAATAAAATGGTATCTAATGTCGATATGTTTGGTTTTGACATAGTATGTACCATTCTTTGTGAGATGGATAGCACTTTGACTATCTGAAGAACACAATAGTTTGTCCCTATGAAACGCCAAGCTCCATAACCCAACCCGTAGCCAAGAAAATCATTATAATCAGAATCTACAAAGCCCATAATATCAGTAGACATAGAAGAATTCAGATAAAAAACCAAGCCCAAAGAATACCCTTAAAGTAGCGCAAAATCCACTTTACCACGTTCTAATGTTCCTTACCAAGGTTATCCATATATCCATATATCAACTCAAACACTAACAACATAACCTTAATCAAGCCTATTGTATACCATAGCATACACACTACCAACAGTACTAGAATAAGGAACCTTTTTTGGATTTGATCCAAGGTAGAGATTGTTAGAACAAATAATGTTGGCTCAAATCCTTCCTTAGCAATTGGATTCCACTCATTAGACCATGTCTTGTCTCCATGCATACATTATTATCCACATGATGCCCTTATAATTTCTCCATTCCTAATTAGTGTTTAGCATTTTTTTCTTAACCACATGTCATGCGATTTTCTCTCTATTCTTTGTGTATAAATAAGGCTTTTGTATTGCTTTATAATTATCATCAATTCAGAATTCTTCTTACATCACTTGCATGGCATCTCCTTTAAAATCTCCTCTTATAATATCTTTTCCCAAAATAGCAATTTATAATTTGGTCATTTTAATTCTCATATTATTTGTACTTCTATTTATATAGTTCTCAATTCTTGGATTACTCGTTTGACCTTAGTGCTTGTTAATATTCTTAACAAATGGTATCAGAATGGTTGAGGGTTCAATTGAGAATTATTTACAAATATGTCAACGATCACTAAGTTATTTTCCTAATAATCAAAAAACAAAACAAAACAAAACATTGGAAGTCATAGAGGAAAAAAAAAAAAAAAAAAAAAGAGTTGTGCATGATCAAAAAGAGGAAGAAAAATCCCAAACAAGGGAATTGAAAGGAACAATAATTAGAAACCACTGGAAGTTATAGGGAATCCTGGATGTACTATTACAAAATATGATAAAGTCAAAATCTTTAACCATTAAATTATAGATAAAATTTTTAAAAGAAACTCTTTCTCTGAAAAGGCATTCTGGACACAGTAGAATACAGTCTCTATGAAGCCTCATTTCCTAACCAAGTTAGAGTCTATAGAAATATTGTAATGCAGAAATATTTCCCCAGGTGCTATTTCTAGTGGGCCAACTCTACCAAGGCATTAAAATTCCTATGTCTTCTAGTAAAAATACAAGCATGCATGTGTGTGACAGATCATTTACCAAAACCGCAGATTTTGCCAAGGAAGCACACTATCACTTCCATAATAGAAAGGTTCTGCAATCAACAAGTCAACCTGCAGAAGAACAATATAATACAAAATCCTTAAATGGCTGTATTCAACTAACATTCTATGTATCAACCTTAGTGGAATATATACCTAGGGCCACCTGTATCAGAGGATCAAACAAGGTGTGGATCTGGAACCCCTGTTGGATCCTTTCAGGTGCTTTTCGATATTTTGACAAAAAAGACAAACAAAAGCTCAACCAAGGGCATAGCAAGTCCAAAATTAAAAAGTGGACTTCTTGGTCAAGTTTTACCATGGTGCTACCACAATTTTCAAGTTTGTTATGAGTTTCCTTGGTATGAAACTACGACCACGTTTGTAGTGAATTGCTTATAGGCTTATAGTTATACAAAACTTATGTGTATTTTGTTAACTCTGTAATCTATATAAAAAGTTTTGTTTATTAATTCGTTGAGCATATGCCCCTTGCTTGTATCTGTACTTTCATTGTGTCCAAATATCAGGGATCCTTCCATTCAGATTTTTGACAAATCTGACAATTTGATTTATTCCCTTACCGTCACCCACACCCAATTCCATGTAATATATGTACAAAAGGTTGCACTCTTTACCTTCCTGTGATGTGTATCTTGCATGGTCAATGCAGAGCTCCTCTTTTTTAGAACTTTAATGCAATCCATTGAATAGTCATTTGAAGCAGCAACAGCTTGCAGATACTGTTCACCTTTATCTTGCAGACCAGGAAATAAAGATATTACATTTGACGCTCTGGCATGATGACCAAGAGCTATTGTCAGGAAGATGCTATCATCAGCAACAATGCACAAAGGAGATGCCTTCTGCTTTAGCTGTAAGGAAAACAAGAGGTGCCTACTAATCCAAGGAAATCAAAGCCGGTATGTAAATCCAAGCAGGGGAGGGTGAGGGGGGATCTTACGGCATTGTTAATTGCTTTTAGCATTGAACATCTCCAATTCTTGTCCCCATATATTGCAATTCTTTCTGGTGATAAAAAGAGTTGACAATCTTGAGCACTGAGTTTGTATTGTCTAACTTCCATATTTTGAGATTGAGTCTTGACTACATAAGAGAGGTTAATATCGGTATGAACGGCATGTAAATGGACATATTCATCCTTTTGTACAGATAAACCTATGTTTGGAATGAACCAAACACATTGTTTCCAATGATCACACCACGCTTCAGAACCTAGAATGCCACATATATACAAATAAAATTTAATGAGCAATACGCTCATAATAAATTTGTATATTTAAAAAAAAAAAAAAAAAAAAAAAAAAAAAAAAAAAAAAAAAAACATCTAGTTTCAGAATCTACTTCACAAAAAACCAGCATCCTAAACCAATGGAAAGCTATATGTTAGGAGAGATGGGAATCTGCTAGCTGTGTTTCAAACTCAGAAGTGGGTAAGCATTTCATATTCATGCATCTTATCAAAGTTTCAAACTTCATTCATGTTATATAAGTTTCAACCCTCTAGTTTATTATCACAAGGTTAAAGAGTGGTAGAGTGAAGAGGGTCATTAGCTTTGTGAATACAATAAATATCAAAGGTTGCTTCCTCTTACAAGATAGGGATGGATCCTTCACATCTGAAGGACAATGTATCCACTTTGGACCAGTTGAATAAAAGACCGTCCCTTCTCTATCAAGTTGAAGCAACCACCTGAAATGCCAAAGTACCAGTATAAGATCAATGAAAAAGTATTCACAATAAGATTAAAGTATCCAACTGAAATACCATGAGATGATAGCATGGGCAGTGCCACCTTTAGTTGCCTTTATAAGCAGCTCGGTTTCCCTAGAACTGTCTGGCCTTTTCCAAAAGTCAAAATCAAAAATTTTGAAGGGCTCTGAAAGCTGTAGGAAATTTAAATCGTAGGACTGTTAAGCAGCTAACCAATGAGTATAATTTTTGCAAAAATGTAGATAATAAATACCAGTTTAATTCCCTCACTGATTGCATCACAATGCATGGGAAATTGTTGATGTTTGACACATATTATTGTATCCATGCCCTTTGGAACAAGATGAATTGTATCTGATGCCTTTTCTTCATTATTAAATAAATCATGCATCTTCCACAAGTCTTTGCTTTCAACCAGCTGAAAGTTAAAGATGGCAGAGAAATGAAATTCAATTTATCACCAAAAAGGGAACTTTGAACCTAAGTGGAAGGATGAAGGCATATGAAGTGTGGTACATCACTCTGATAAAAAATAGCCAAAGTGTTGACTATATAATGGAAGATCTCCCCTCAAAAAATATATATATAATGGAAGATCTGGTACCATAGATAAATGTTTAAGGGCTATAGCATAGCATAGCATTGAAAAAAACATTATAAGACAGGGAACTAAAAATGAAAAATAAAATGTCAGTTGTGATTTGAACATAAATCCTAAGTTACCATATTTACTATTTTAGTAACAATGCACAATCTTCAAAAATAAAAACTAATTTTGGTCAATACCTGACCAAATATCGTTCCTCGGTAAGGCACTGTTTCTGGACTTTCCACCAATAGATTGTCATGGGCATGCTGCAAGGTTGGTATCAGTCCTTCACCTAATAGCTCTGAGTCAAGTATTTCACTAACCTGCATTAATGTAGTTTATAAGTTTTTCAGTATGCATTTTGGAAACAGTATACTCAGTTTATTCTGTACCTATCAAGAAAATAAAGTAGTTTATCGATTTTGGTATTCTGTACTGATAAAGAAAATAAGCATACTTTTGGGGTTCCAAAGGCAAGCAGCATCTTATTATTTGGAGGCCAAAAGAAAGAGGTATGAGGTAGATAGGATAGGAATTGGCTATGGGACTGTAACATACCGTGTTATTGAAATTCAGGATGTGATGAATCCATAAGAAATCTTGGAATTGATAATTGAATTTTCACTATAAGGATATATTGCATGGCTTGACAATGCTGGATTTTTCATCTACTGGTTTCATCAAGAATTTTAGAGTATTTTGGACCTGAACAAATATAATCTAGTTAAAAAGTATAATCTGAGAGGAGAACTAGATACAGCATCACATAAGTAGAAATATGGATTCTTCTGACTGGATATATAAAGCACTCTCCCCCTTCTATCCCAACTATAAATATGAAGACAGAAAAATTCCGGTACTGTCAATAAACTAGCTTTCCAACATCTATTAGGCATCAATTTTTCACACCTGAAACTATAAAACATCTCAAGACACTGAACTCACAAGAACATCTGCTCGAGATGCTATATCCCTGCCAACTTCTAATTCATCTGACCTCTTATTAATGATGCGAATTCCCCTTTCTATGCCATTTGCCCTCAAAACTTTCCGCATCAATTTCACCATAGGAAGGTACGATTCACAAGCCGTAACCATCCCCTTGGAATCAGAGTTAGACGCTGAATCAGCAGGACCCATTGCCCGGGCAGCCATCATCGACAATAATCCAGTTCCAGCACTGCAGATTAAATTTCTCACTATAAACCACACAACATAATAAAAATCCCATTTTTCTACTCATAAGAGCCTATTACTGTATATGAAGCAGTTAATAACGGGGCATCTGAGTTTGAACCCATTTTTCTTTTCAGGAAACTAAATCAGAAGAAGATTTAAAAATAAGGAATTCATGAAGAATTGACGGGTACCCAATATCAAGAACATGGCAAGGTTTAGTTACAGTCTTGTCAATGGCTTCACGGAATGCTCTGTTTCTGGGAGAGTCGTTGAGCATATCGAGGTATGACGTTGTGGCAAGAAGTGGAGTTGGAGTTTGCTCTGGAGTGTCGCTCTCCTCGATTACGACCCATTCGGAGTTTCCGGTTAACGGGTCGAGTTTGAGCTGGAACATTCGAGACCCGGAGCTCATGTTTCGTACGATAGTGCGGGTAGACCGAGGGAGGGAGAAGGAGTGAGAAGAAGTGACGCGAAGAGGAAATGTGGGGTTTAGGGTTTTGCAGAAGAGGGAAAGCATTGACGGCGGAGACGGGGACTAAAGTCCTCAGTAATAATGTCACCACCCACTAAGGAATCATAAATAGGAAAGTTCATAATAGGTTCGCTGGATACGAGATTTGCGTAAATCAATATTTGGACCCTAGAGAAGAAAAACCAACACAGTGTAGTCCGAGTTTGTGATTAAATAAAATCGATGTTCTAGAGTCCGATTTTTTTTTTATTGTTTTTTAAATACATTCGGACCCTTTTGGTTCGAATGTATTGATAAAATTATTATGTTTTTTTTATTTTTTTAAGGAATGCAACGAATGTATTCATAATATTTTTTTGTCGAAGAAGGTTCATGCTCAGTATGTGTCTATACTTGATATTATAATTTGAATTTAGATGAAAAAATTGGATAATTAAAAATATAAAGAAAGCATTATTTTATTGATGATTCAAAGTAGGACAGTTGGGGAAGAATGAGTTGTCCTCCGACAATACCTACATCTTCTACTTCGATTTGAACCGAAGTCCATTTCATTTGGATACCTACGCGTGCGGCGCTATCCTCGTTGATTTGGTTGCCTAGCAGAAATTGGTGGAAGGCAAGTAACTGGACCGGTACACTGAATTCTTTCGTCTACGGGGTAAAAATTACCGGCATAACAGTTCCTGTAATTTTCAACTGAGTAAACATCTGACACTAATGGGCCGAATCCTTGCCCTCGGTAATTGCATGCTGCAATTACATGTGCACAAGGTAAGCCGTTGACGTTCCACAAGCCGCAGTTACACGTACGTTCCGTTAGATTCACTTGAAAGTGATATTGTTGACTTTGGGAAACGTAACCAGTATTTAGGGCAACACCATAGATTCCGAGGGCGTCATTGTAACGTTGAACTCTTGCACCGCTTGCCTCATTGTTTCGAGCTGACAAATCATCGGTAATGTTTGTCGTGAATCGCAGGCCGTGTTGCTGCATCCCCTCTCCCGCAGTACGCCTGTCGGCAAACATAGTCCGTAACTTGTGAAAAGTCATTCGGACTATTGCCGTGACGGGTAACATCCGACAACACTTTAGTGAATTATTTAGTGACTCAGACGGATTGGTCGTCATGATACCGTACCGGTGACCGTCGTCATGAGATAATGTCCACTTATCGACATCAATGTCGGCAAGATAGGCGTATGCAGCGGGCCATTTGATTTGGATTGCGTGCATGTGTTGAAGGAATTGATCCCTTGTCACAGCAGTACCAGCTTCCCACACAAGTTTGCGTAACCGCCTATTTCTGGTCACCCTTGACATGACATTGCTGCGAATGTGTCTTAGGCAAAACCGGTGTTTGACACGACCCCCCTTCAATTGTTCGACGGAATTAAACGCCGCATCGATTCCAGCATGTCTATCCGAGACGATGCACATGGAATTGTGATGTGGAAAGACATTTTCGGCCAGAAGTCGAAGAAACCAAGTCCAACTGGCATTATTTTCGGAGTCCACGATCGAATATGCTAGTAGATAGATTTCCTTGTTGGCGGTATATCCGCAGGCTAGGAGGAGATGGCCTTTGTACTGGTTGTACAAGTGGGTACCGTCAACACAAATAACCGGGATGCAGTAGCGGAAACCATCTATTGCGGGCTTGAACGCCCAAAATGCGTACAAGAAATTTGCGTACCCTGTACCCCTTTCTGCGTTATGTGTGGTCATGATTTCCACAATGGTACCTGGGTTGGACAGTTGCAACTGCCGGCAGAATTGTGGTAGCTCATTGTATGACTGCTGGTAATTCCCGTACTGCATTTCAATGCATTTGTGTCTGGCATACCAAGCTTTCCGGTACGAAATGTCGACACCAAATCGTTGTCTCACATCCACTTGGATGTGTTTTATTTTGTACTGTGGATCCGCAGTGATCTTTTGAAAGATCAGATCACATATTAATGAGCTGGTGCACAGTTTGTCCACCGGTCGCTGGTTGAATTGAACAGTGCACTCGCGGGGCTGAGTGTACTTCGTGACCTGCCATTCAGTAGACGCCCCATGCAACTTCTTTGCGGATAATGTCCACGGGGCAAGATGGTGTTGAGATATAATGTGTACAGGAGACCTTCCAATTTGCCCTTTTTTTGTGGTTGGTGACGTAGTCCCGCCCGTGCAGCATATTGTATGTTCCTACTGCTTTTTTTAGGGTCGGAAAATCCGGGAATACCATTCCTTTTGCAATAACATTTGTGGAGGGGTCGTATGATAGGGTTTCATCATCGTCCCTCTCCGTAAAGCCGTATGCGAATGCAGTTGTTGTAGGTGGTATCGGTGAGTGGTAAGACGGGACCGCAGAATCTGGCAATCGATGACCCCGACCTCGATTCATTTGAGTATTTACATTCATTGAATCGAAGTCGTATGGAACTGACTCCTGTATGTCTTCGTCGTCTGTACTTCCTGAACTCTCGGACGGTATGGACTCATCAGGTTGATACGTGGCATCACTTTCTGATGAACTTTCCACCATTGTTGACTCAGATGGAAGTTCCTCTGGTGGATCGACATCGTTAACTCCGAATCCGCCACCATAAATATCTTCTGTTCGAACGTACACATGTAACTCTCCGTTTGGCATTGTTTGTCGTATGAAGTATTCCCAGTCTCTTTCTCGCGCAATGTGTAGTAGATAGTGTGTGCTTCCCATTGTAGCATCCACTATCACTCTTCCAATCAGCTCAACATTGTCCTCAATGTTGATTCCCATTGCTTGTCTGATCATTAACTCCATAGGAATGAGTCCAATATTTGATGGTATTGGAATAACTACTCGAGGCTGGAGTGAATAATTTATCTGTGGCGGTGTCCCACTGGTTTGTATTTCCCCACCCCAAAAAACGAAAACATATGTAGATATAGCTGCCATTTTAAAAAAATTGCAGTTCGAGAAAATTGAATTTGGCTCTTTGTAAATATGAGATTCGCAAATGTTGTGGTGCAGTTGTGGGGCAGTTGTGGTATTTATAGTAGTGTACTAGAGTCCGAAATACTTATATTTAAATGTCCCTAATAGCTTTAGTTGTTTGTATAGTAGTGTTCTATTTATAGTAGTGTACCAGAGTGTAGTCCCTATCACTTTTATGAAAGTGTAGTCCCTATCACAAAACACTTTTTTATAAAATCACTTTTCAGTTAAATAAATTTCGTGAGACTCCAACAATTGTGAAGTAGTGCCAATTTAATTTTTTTTAATTTTTTTTTATTGTGATAGTGTTGTCACTATCAAAAATGACATTTTATAAAATTAATTGCAGTATGGAAGGAAAATATGATAGGGTTGGTTTATGCGTACAAAACATAACACTTAAACACATGCCAAAGAACAATGGAGTAAACTCATGCAAATATTTATTCAAACATTATGTTAACTTATTTGGAAAGTAGATGCTTAAATTCTTCAACGATTGCATCCAGTTTCATCGCGTGCTCGTGATTCTCACGTGCCAGTTCATCTTGCATACGAGCTAAGATTTCCTCATTTGAATATGTGTTTGTATTCGGTACGGTGGAGCTGGAACTTGAAGCGGAATTAGAACTGCATGGTCGGGAATCATGTCGTTGACTACTTATGAATCTGTTGAAAGCTTGAATGGCTTTATCCCTCGAGTTGTATGATTTATACAAGTTGTCGCTATAGCGATGCACTTGAGTTTTTGCATCCTCCCAATTGTCATATATTCCCGGTTGGCGACCAACAAACACAACATACGTTTTACCCTAATAAAAATCATATTCATGTTAAAGACGAAATTTTAATTAAAAAAAAATTAGTAAATAAAATTATACCGTACCATATGAATTGTTCAGACGAAGATGATGAATGCTTTGAAGTTGTAGAATGGGAACTGCAATCTGAGCAAGTAATCTTCAATGTGAGCAGGTTGCGGTGATGTATAGCAGGCTATATATAGGCCTATAAAGAAATTCTGACAGAATATATTCCCTTGGATTGGTGTTGAGAATTACCTTATCGTGAAGAATATGTTTGGACTTTGTTGGAAAGAATATATTCCATTACAGAATATATTCCCTTGGATTGCTATGCTGCCATAAGTGTGAGAAGACTAGTCATCTAATAGGAAATGACCATTCGTATTGCTATTGTGAAAAAGTATTACATTTCCAAGGTAAAGACAGTCCATTATATTATTTCTGAGACGAATATGTATTACATTTCCGAGGTAGAGACAGTCCATTTTATCATTTTTGAGACGAATATTTTATTTATTCACGTAAAGTCTGAATATATATATATATATATATATATATATATATATATATATATATATATATATATATATATATATATATATATATATATATATATATATATATATATATATAAAACATGGACCCGGAAGGTCCGCGTTTTACCTTTAAAACTAAAAACTTAAAAATCGCACCATAATGGTCCGATTTTAATTTTTTTTAATGTTAAAAAAATCGGACCGCAATGGTCCGATTTTAACCATTCGCTGGGTCACTTCCCGAGGCGCGGTCATTTCTGAGACAAATATATTCCCGAGGTAGAGACAGTAGATTTTGTCATTTCCGAGAGGAATAGATTCTCGACGTAGAGACAGTCCATTTGATCATTTCCGATAAGAATATATTCCCAGATTGTAATACTATTGTGTAACAGTATGAGATGACTACTCCTTTAATATGAATGACTATTCGTAACATTCGTTCTGAACCGAATATATTCGCTTACATTGTTTGTTTAGGTTGGAAAGATTTTTTAGACACACTGCATATTCGGTCACATTACTTATTGAACCCGCACATATTTTCTTTATTCATGTACATGTTGGGTAAACTGTGCAAAAAAAAAATAATAATAATGTAAAACTCGGACCCATACGGTCCAAGTTTTACTTGGTAAAAAGTTAAAAATCGGAACATAATGTTCTGATTTTTAACTTTTTTTTTTTTTGTTACAATCGGACCGCAATGGTCCGATTTTAACATTTCGCGGGGTCATTTCTGACACACATATACCCGAGGCGCGGTCATTTCTGAGAAAAAT